CTCTCGCCGGCCGCCCCGCGCCCGAGGGCGCCTGCGGTGTGCGGGCCGGGGCCGGTGGGCTCCGGAGCCCTGCGGGCTGGCCGCCGGTGATTTGCGATCCCGGTCGCGTGCAGGTCCGCCGGCTTCCCGCTCTGTGGGGCACTTGGAGGAAGAGTTCGACTGAACACCTTATTTTTAAAAGCCCTGTCGATAGCATGAAGATCTAAACTGGAGACAAGTTTCAGCCCGTCTTTAGTTAGCTCAGCGAAAAGTGACTTCCCTCTTGGAAATCAGTGTGCAGCCTTTTGAGGGCAGCGAAGACAGCAATTTCTGTGAGGTGCATGACGACCTCAATTTTGAAAGGGAAGAAAGTCCGTTATTATGTAAAGTTGGGTCCAGAAGAAAAACAGATTGTTTTCCGTAGAAAAAATTGAGGTAGTATTAGGAATTTAGAAAATTACGTTGTGGCATTGGGCAGGGGTTTTAGTGCACGTGTTTATAAATTCTGTTGAGTGGACACGTAAGTAAACTGGAAAGATAAGGCTTTGAGTTAACTAAGAAATATTTTGAGGTGCACTGAGTGCATTTTGTGGCATATTTGTGTGTTGCATGATTTTACAGTTTTAGCTGGGGGAGGGGCAGACCTTTGAAGAGTCTTGAAATTACTTTTGGCAAAGTAGATATTATTTTCAGTTGAAATTTGAAAAATCTTTAAGGTGTGTATTTTCTCAGGAGTACTTTATTTTTCCATTTTGACAGGATGAGTTTGCAGAGCAGATTTTCTCTACTACATAACCATGTGTGAATTGCATTTGGGGAGTTAGAAGTCTTTAAAAGTAGTGTGGGTTGCACCGCCTCCTCCATTCTGGGGATTGAACCCAGGACCTTCACACTGAGCTACATCCCAACATTTTCTTTTGAGACAGATCTCCCACTCAGTTGCTAGGTTTGTCAGCCTGGGCTCAAACTTGTAATCCTCCTGCTTCAGCCTCCCAGAGTGCCAGGATGGCCACATGCTAAAATTAGTTTTAGACCAGGAAAATGTGCACACAGTCTGAAGGTTTCTCCCTAGAGAAGTTGTGATGTTGCCCCAGTAAGAGATAATAATAGTGGAGAAAGGAGTTTTAAAAAGTCAAAACCCTGCACAGCAACCTAGCAGGCAGGTTAAAGAACCATCAAGTACACTACACAGTGATTTGTCCATATATTTCGCTTATTTTGAGTATTGAGGAATTACAGTTGTGATTATAGAATGAGTCGTTCTTGCGTTACCAGTGAAAATCGTGAATCCAGACCAGTGCGGAACGCAGGCATGGAAATGATGCAGCACAGGCCCAGGTGCACATTCAGTTCCTAGAAGAGCAGGCCCTGAGCGAGAATGCTTGGTGTGTGTTCAGTGTCTGAGTTTGTTGTGTACTTGTGTGTAAAGGTGGGCAAGGGAGCTCTGGGGGAGAGAGAGGGGTGGGCTGAAATAGGAGCTGACATTTGGTGGTTGATTCCTTCCTCAGTGTTGAGCTCTTGAGTAAATAGTTTGCTTGGTTGAAATTTCTTATCGTTAGATATACAGCTCCACCACTGAGCAAGGAGACATTTAAAATCCACAGTATGCTTGTGCTTGGTTTGATGATGGTGTTAAAATCATTTAATGGGAGCCAGGTGTGGTGGCACGTGCCTGTAATCCCAGACCCTCCAGAGGCTGAGGTGGGAGGATCCCTTCTAGTTCAAGGGCAGCCTGGGCTACCTAGTGAGTTCAGGGTCAGCCTGGACTACAAAGGGAGACCCTGCCTCAAACACGCCCCCCCAATCCTTTAACTGGCTTGTCTTCAGTCACCCATAACTCTTAGTTTAAGTGAAGATCTGTTACAAGATAACTTTGAAATTCATTGTCATGTTTTTAAAAGTTTATTTGTTTTAATTCTACATTTGACTAAGATGATTCTTAGGGGGTGACTCATCTGTTCATTCTGAGATTGGGTGGTTTTCCTTTTACATGCGTAATACGTGCACCACCACCACCAGGGATTGAATTCAGGACTGAGACGAATCTCAGTACTTTGTATAGTTTTGGAGAAGTTTATTTTAAAAAATTTATTGTTCCACATAATCCATATACAAAAGTGCTTTAATGATGATATAATGAATTCTGAAGTAGATCTTCTGCTAGTTAGAAAAGAAAAAGAGATACTTTTTTTTCTTTAAAGTCTGTTTAAACCCTGGCAGTAATTTGACTTAGGATTCATATTTGAAATTTGGCATATTATGTGAAGTAATTTTATGTTTTATTTTCTTTTGGTACTGGGGATCGAACTTGGGACCTTGTGCTTGTGAGGCAGGCAGAGGAACCACTGAGCTAAATCCCTGGCCCATTGAAGTAATTTTTTGCCTTTAAAACATTACACAATTTCTTCCTTTGTGTTATGCAACATTTTACTTTTCCCATTAGCAGTTTTGAAGAAAAAATTAAAGTTTACAAAATACTAAAATAAATTTCAAATATATTTTTTCCCCTAATGATCAAGGAGAGGAAAAAAATAAAATAGGAGCATTGTGCTCAAGGTTGCCCTTAGCAATACAAAGTGGTACAGAAACCAAGCTCTGTGAGCTGGCCAGGGAAGGCGGTGGGTGGCACTGTGAACTAGCACCTCTGGGTAGCAGTGCTCCGCTGAGAAGGAGCTCACGGGGGGATGTGTAGCACCCGCTCTTTGGGTGGCCCGCACATTCGCGGGTTCTTTAGGAGTGCCTCCTGTTTCACTCTGGCTTTACCAGATCTCTGTGGTGACCTTGTCCTTGCTATTATATTCTGAAAGTTGCCAAGTATATTGTCTACAGCCTGAAGCTCTGATCTGCTTTTTTTTAAGCATGGCATACAAGCCTTTGCCTGGCGTGCTGCCTCCTCTGAACACCTGTTCATCAGCTTGCATCATACTCTTCATGTCCAAGGCAAGGCTTTGGGTTCCTTGTTTTGGGTGGTTAAGGTAAATGCATACTTAGTCTTGAGGTTTTTTTTTTCTTTTGGTACCAGGGATCGAAGTTGGGTCCTTGCGCTTGCACATGCGACGAAACCACTGAGCCAAATCCCCGGCCCCATTGAGTTTTAAAAATAAGCAAACACAATAGTTCCTTGATTCTCAGCTTCTGGTCTGTGCCCCTCCTGGTCCTTTGTTTTGCAGTCAGACTTGGAAAACCAGCCCATGTTCACCATCTCTGCAGTTCCTCCTTTCTGTGTACTCTCCATCCTTGTAGTCATCTTTCTGACTTCATTACTTATTGATGGCTGGATTAATCATTTCCAGCTATTTCACCTGATCCCTCTGACAGTTAACATTACTGACAGTTCTTTTTAGGAAGTTTTTGGTTTGTATGGCACCATTATCTTGTAATTTTCTTCTTTGCTCCTTGTGTCTCATTTGTGACCTTTTTCTTAAAGGCAGCTGTTTCTGAGGCTATGATTGGGTTTCATCTTTATCTGGCTCTGAAGTCTGCCTGTTGAAAAGTTTTCTCTTTCTCTTCCTTGCTCTCTGCACATACTGGTACACACCCAAATCTATTTTAATTCAAAATTTAGTGTTAACAGATACTTGTGACAACTTCTTGACTATTTGGATTTGTTCTTTAGACATCTCAAAATCAACACATCCTTAGCTTTTTAAAAGCTACTCAAGCCTACTCTTTCTGTATTTTTTATTTTTACATTTTAGTGGCATCATGATTATTCATACCAGAAACACTTAACACATGTAATAAAGTCTGTTTCTCCCTCTAGATAATCCTTGACTTATCCCCTGTAATGCCCCTCTACTTCAAAATTCATTTTAAGAATTCATTCAGCCCTCAGATTATCTAATGTAATTGCAGTAGATTTGACCATCTGCTCTATGTCAGGTGTCATGAATGAGTGTTGGAACTGCAGTTGTGAGGGAAACACTGCCCTTGTGTTCATGGGCAGTTCTATAGGGAGAGATAGACACTAATCCAATATGGAGGTGAATGAAACAGCTATAAAGATGCCTGTTAGTCCTATTAGAATCTAAAGTAGGGACTTTGATCTGGTCAGAAAAGGTTAGCACAATTGGAAGAAGATTCCAAGAATAAGAAGTTCCCTAGGGGAAAAAGAAAAAATGCATGTAGAAGGGTCTTGTGGTAGGGGGGAATATGAGACATTTACAAGAGGTCAGTGTGACAGTAATGGAAATAACCAAGATGAATATAGTTCTGGTTTATAGGGCAGGTTAGTAGTTTCTTTTTTTTTTTTTTTTTGGTACTGGGGATTGAACTCAAGACCTGGCGCTTGCCAGGCAGGTGCTATGCTGCTGAGCTACATCCCTGGTGAGTAGTTTCATTTATCCTAAACGAGGAGGTAGGTTTTTTTTTTTGGCCAGGAGGTAGTTTTAACTGTGGTGTGGGAGAGGGTTAGTAAAGGTAGAGGGAATGGAGTAACATCACATTTGCTTTGTAAATACTTCTGGTGGCTGTGTAGATTAAGAAGAGGAAAAGATGAATTAGGTAGCCACAGCAGTCCTGGGAAGAGTAGACCTCTTGGGCTGAGATGTATGTTAAAGAAACAATGAAAAGTTTGGAGATAAATCGGTGAGACTATTGGCTATCTGCACTGAGAGAACTGGGGTTTTTGGTTTCCTGTATGGTTTTGAGATTTCTGCTTGTGTAAACCAGATGGTGGTGCTCTTCACCCACCTAGGAAACTCCAGGTGTCTGGATGAGGATCAGTTGTATTTTATTTGGGGCTATGTGGGAGGGTAAAAGGAAGATGTGTTTGGGTCCTTTTACTCAGAGAAGTCCTGACTTGGG